AATGTAAATCCTGCGTTTGCATTGCAATAAGTAAAAACATTTAAAAGCGAGTTGTACTCAATCGACTATATCAAAATTCTTTCAGTCACTAGAAAGTTACACATTTTGCAAGTTCGCATTTTAGAAATGTGCATTTTGAAAGTGGAATATAGATTCTTGTGCATTTTGTTTGATATCTTAAAACCGCATTTCACATCGAATACCTCACATGAACTGAATTTTATGCAAATTTACTCCAACTTATTTGCATTGATTGGCACGCGGAGAAGAATAACTTCTCTCGAAGGTCTTGAGGCATATTTTATTTCCCTTATTTAATGCAGCACTATTAAACTAGTGGGATAGTTATGAAAAGAAGTCGTTAGAAATAAATCATTTTTGATTGTTTGAAATTTGTAAAGAAGTGTTCACTGCAATTAAGGTTAATAGTATAAGTGCCAAGCCAAGTGATATAAATAAAATGGCATAAATCAAAATCGCGTTCCCGACATGGCACAGTGATTCTCGAGATTCATGATTGAGATCTATTTCTCTTTGACTTTCAGCGAATACAGCTTTTATCTCGCGTGAAAAAAATCAAAAAATAATAGTTTTCGAAGTTTAACCTAATCCAAGTCAACCTCATGCAAAAACAAATTTTTAAAAACTCATTAATAATGCATGATTTAATAGACCAATCAGGTTATCTCAATTTAGTCACGTACATCAGATTTACATATCCCAAAGAAAAGTGAGTGGTTTCCACAGAAACACTCATCTTTGTACCCTTGTATCTTTGTATACAAAAAAAGCAATTAGCAAGCAAGCCCAGAATATAAAACAAACAACATCTAAGTGATATATTTGTGAGGGGAAAGCCAGTTTACAAAGTTTATACGCGACAAGGAAAAACTACGGAAACGTGCAATCGCCCACGCCTAGCTCAACCGTCCGTTCATTTGACGTAAGTCATTGACGTTTGAAAATAGTTGATTCGGCACTTAAACACGTTTCCGTCGCAAAAAGCTAATAGGTTCTTAAAATAAATATATAGATGCCAAACGTATTACGTATTTGTGTTCTGTCTATTGGGCAGCCAAACAATAGACGTTTGTTCAGCCAGGGTCGTTGTCAACACACTATCTATGCGGTCGCGCTATTTTTGATAAAGTAGTTTCCATAGTTTCCATCAGATAATGATTTTTTAAATAAAATTTTTTTATGTAACACGCGCTCTGGCTGACGACCGTGTGATCAGAGGACAGAGACACGACTTTCCGGTAAAATTTATCGTTCGCTCGAAAAGCGCAGAAAAATTTTATAAAAGAACTATAAAATGGCCGCTTTTGTCTCCGTACTCTGATAGAAACGGTGGCAGTTGAAAAGCACTCGAGAAGCAAGAGAAACACTCGCTACATCCGCGCTTCTCTCGTGTTTTTCAACTCCCACCGTGTTTATATCAGAGGACAGAGACACGCGCGCCGTTTTATATTTCTCAATTTCAAACTTTTATCGAAGTTTTAAAATACCACTGCCCCTTTGAATAACCTTTACTCGTAATATAAGACCAATATACAGTAAAACAACTTGTAAATAAAAGAAAAATGGCTTAGTACGGGAAATCGTGAAAAATTTCCGGGTTATACAAAAACTCGCCCCGTGAAAATCTAAGCTTTGGAATCCAAGATGTAGAATCCTGGATCGGAGCCAACGAAATCCGATTCCAATAAAACGATGGAATCTGGAACCATTATATTGTAGCATTTAATCCGAAATCCCACAACGTATAGCGGATTCCGAGAAGAATGCTAACATGGCACTCGTTCTCACTCGACTCGACTCGAAATGTTTTGCAGTCCGAGTATCATGTTTGTTGGTGTTGGATTTTCTTCGATTTGCAAACCAAACGTGCTGATTGAAGYTTTATTTCGTACACAGGATTAAAATTTGAGCGCGAGGGAATAAATCATCAAGGAATAAAAAGATAAATAAACTATATATATATATAAAAAAGTTGTCGATATTTAATCATCCTCTAGCACTTCTGACATCATATACAGCTGTACCTCACAACTAAAAGCCGAAAAGACAACAACTTTTTAACTGTTTATAGCAAACTGCGACTTTACAACCACAGATAGCGTGCCCCGAGCCTTCGAAAATTTAGCCAGCGGTGCACGATACATAGTTGTCAATCAACATACAAATTAGTATATAGTCCCTCCAAATGAGAAGTGTTATTGACAATGAAGCTTTCAAAAAAAACATGGAAGTTCTTCAGTTGTAGTTCCTTAGTGTGGTACTTCGTTGAACATATTGAAAAAGTCAACTTTTTCCACGTCCCATATTTATACAGCAAATTCAACTAGCATTGTCGTTTAGAATGTCTAAAGCTCAATCACCTGACCGCGAAGTATCATGGGATGTATATTGCCTAACAATACATATCCCATGATACCTCACGGTCAGAAAGTTAAGATTCAACTTTCTCAACGGCAACGTTCATTGAATTAGCTATATTCACCTTTTGCTCCTCGTTGAAACTCATTTCAGTCTTTCAAAAATGATGAATATTTTGCCAGAAATTCTTCATACACTTGAAATTCTTAAATTTCCAGCTTCGATATTTGGGCGAACCATAATAACAAATAAGATTCGTTAGTCAGAGTCATTGGAGTCTGTCTCCGAGTCATCTTGRTTTCGACCTGAAATCACATAGAACACAGCCTTTTAACTAATTGTTATTAATTGAAATTTAACAGGCTCAGTCTATTAGCTTTTTAAGGTATATTTAACAGTTCTTATTTGGTGGCCATGTATCGACTAAGTTATAGCTATAGGAGTTAATGTTCATTCATTTTTGTCGGAAAAACAACCTCAAAGGCCAGTGTACATTTAATAGCYCTAATCGACTCATTGATTTAGTACATTGGTGTTAATTCCCTTGACAAAAATAGAATTCCAAAAAAGCGCGTTTTTGTCCGATTGGGAAGATTATGTGGACACTTAGTTCACTACTAACTTCGCGGCCTTTTGCGTAACTAAGCGCGAAGAAGCGAAGCGAAGTGAGTTCACTACTAACCAAGACGTGCGTGGTTCAAAGAAGCAAGCATTCGTAGCATGAAGGATGCCGGGACGGTTATTGTATCTCTACTTTCTTCAAGCATTTGTTCATTTGTCCGCACGATCTGTAACATAAAAATGACAAAATAGAGAGTTTTAGATACGCGTTTGCGGCGAACGCCAAACGTCAAAACTGATCACGTGATCACTGCTTTTCTGTATTAACGCTCCGTTCTTTCGCGATTGTGTATAAAATAGATCGCTTTTTCGTGCCTAACCGCATCACTATTCCTTTTTGAGACAAAGCATAAAAATCAATTTGAGGTTTGGCGTTTGCAGCAAACGTGAATCTAAAACTCTCTAATAGCTATAAAAATTATATTACCTCTTAACATACACTGAAATATTATTTTAACTTTCGTCAAAATTAAAGGTTTCTTTACATCCGACAGCCTTTGCAACCCTTTTTTTGTTCTACAAACGATATTCTTGTTGAAAGTTACGAAAAACAAAACCGTTCTTGAACTTGAAGCTGAAATGTCTCGATTTAGTGCGTTAAGAACGATATAAGTAAAAACCAAAACAACAATGACAGTTGTTGAAAGTTGCTTTCTGATTGGTTCAAAGTCAAAGATGGCAATTTTTTGAATGGGAGAAAATCGCGCAAAGGAACTCGGACGCACGTGAACCCGTGAAAACTCACCTCATCTAGACCTTCCACTTGAGCTGGCTGACTAGCTGTAGGCATCCATAGTTTAATGTCATAATCGATTCCACTTGAAGCAAGGACTGTAAAAGACAGAATCATTGAAATTGAAAAATAAAATAATAAAGTGGTTTTCCTAAACCCGTGAAACAAAGTGTAATAATTAGAGTGCAATAGTTAACAGATAGATCTCATTTTTCCGTGCGTGTGTACTCTAATAGATACACAGATGACGTCAAAATGTAGTGAGAACAAAAAAGYACGCACGAGACGCAGTAGAGTGCGTGACTGTTGTTCTCACTACATTTTGACGTCATCTGTGTATCTATTAGAGTACACACGCACGGAAAATGAGATCTATCTGTTTTATACAACAAACAATTAGTTTTGACGTAATCCGTGTATCTATACTTTGATAACACACGAAAGCCAACCAATCAAAACGTCTGATTTTACTGAAAAGTTGTATAAATCGTAATAGTTGCGTAGAGACAATAAAAAACAAAAGAACCCTAAAGTGTGTTTCACGGGTTAATGGCCACTCTAATACGACGAAGCAGTATAGCAAGATGCAAAAGACTTCCTTTCATAAGACAAAGCTTTAGGGCCAGCTCACACTGCAACATAAGCAAAACCTCCATAAACAAAAAGAAGACAAAAAGTAAGGTGATTTTCTCTGTTTATTCCTTTGTCTTTGATTAGTTTATGCTCTGCCTTATGTTACTTGCTGTGCTTATATCGATGCACGCTTGACTTCATTCCTTTGTCTTTGATTAGTTTATGCTCTGCCTTATGTTACTTTCTATGCTTAGATCGATGCACGC